CACTTCTAGGAGAATAACATTAAACATTGCGGAAATATAGTTGGTCCTGTAACGAACGTCTACTTGCATTATGATTTATTGCAATTGATTGATGTATGTTAATGTATGGTATTAGAGAGACTACAGCTGTGTTGATCACACCATGCCTCGCCTTGAAGGTTTAACTACTTCGAGAAGGAAGTATTTATCCTTGCTAATATAGGAATATGATACCCTGTTTTTTCAAATATTGTATCTTATATTAATAAGTCTCTACAGGACTAGACTATTGCAGACAAATCTTTTACAGCTACTTAAAGACATTAAAATCATAAATGCTAGTAAAATTCCTCTACATCCTGGAGAATTGCTCTTATGAATGATCTGATGTTCCGAGTAGTTAAGTTGATATTGTTAGTTTTTAGAATGCCTTTTTAATTGTGTTAGGATTTTTTTTTTACTTGAATATGCTTTAGTTTCTACCGTCACTGCCTAAATAGAGTTGAAGGGGATAATATGCTCCAACAGAGTTGTTCCTCTTATCAGTTTACTTTTAAAATTTTTGTTGATATACTATAATGGCAACATTAATTAAATGCTAAATATTCGCATTGCATGCTAAATAAAATGATACTGAAGTGTTTCATAGAAAACAAAAAACAATGTTCTTGATAAGGTGAAACACATAGCAGCCGTTGAGGTCAAAGTTTTTATTTAATGTTAGGTGTTTAAATTAATTGTGGTGTTATTGAGTGCATAGAGGAATTCTACTAAAGAGATGCATCCATTTAGTTGTTCTCAATTTTAAGCTGTTACTTGATTAATTGGAAAGATAATACGCAGGAATCTAGTATATTTCAGTTGTTTCTCAAATTATTGTTGGGCTATAATCCTCTTTTGACTTGATTGCAACATGGAGCTGTAGGCCATCATATGACTCTAAAAGATTCTATGTTTTTCCTAATTCATGTGAATAGTCACTGTGATATACTTATATATTGGTATTGGATCATTAAATCATAGGGACTGTACAATTCCAATTAGTCTTATTTATGGAACATATGAATCTAATTGTTTATACATCTCAGGCCAAGGCTGATGAGATTGCAAAGTTAATGAATGAGAATGAGCAGCTAAAAGCAGTGATTTATGATATGAGGGTGAATTAATGCTCCATCTGCAGGTAGTCATATCTAAGTTATGACAAACTATTTTAAGTAATTTTAAGGAAAATTAAATGACGGTGAGAATGAGTCCCTACGGGAGGAGTATCGTCAGAGGGTGGCAACACTTGAGAGGAAGGTATATTATTTAAAGATCTACTTCTACTTGAATTTTTGGTGCAGTGAACATGCTTGATCAACCTAGTAATTATTGACACTATCAACGGTGACATGTTTAGATTACCGATAGTCTTGAAGCATTATTTAGGCTCATGACATTGAGTTTACTCTGTTTAACAGTACTAACTTTGCAATATATCTTGTTTCCCAATTCAATGGCCTTTTTCGTCCATTTTTTGTGTCTGACATGTTCCATTCAATTCTAGTATAGATGTTATGCTAATGAGCTGATTGTATGCCATTGTACATGGTAATAAAACAACTTACTTCATTTGTTGTGCCTTGATTGCTTTGTATTCATTAACAATGATCCAAGTTATTTAGTGATGTACTTGCCAACAAAGGTTTAATTAATAATTTGATACTCGATGGCATGCCAGACACACTGAGATTTACGTAGTATAGAATGTTTGGTTTAGTCCTATCCTGAAAAGTTGCAAAATAGTCTTGAATAATTTCACCATTCATCTGATAATCTCCAAGTGAAGAGCTCTCAAAGAAACAAGTTGCTCACGGAATCTCAGATAAGAAAGTTAAGGGCACAAGTATACTGATTTGGGATCGGTTGCTAACATTTAAAACTCACATTCTTTTTTGCTATATTTTTAACATGAGTCATGCCCATTATATATTTTTTCTGAAACTTTTTTGTTGAAAGCTAGATCAGAGAGCTTGAGAAAGAGAAAGAAGAGATTGATTACAAAGCTCCATGTCAATTTCTTTTCCACGTAGATTTTATTAAAAAAAAAGTAGCTCTAACTTGATCAATTACCTAGCATGTCAGATGTTTCATATCACTCAATTTAGATTTGAGGCATCTTAATTTTATTATTTTGAGTCAAATTGTTCTATTTGTACTTGTTTATTTACAGTGAAATATATAATTTTCTCAAGTTAATTGAATTTTATTATGCTTAATTTAGTTTGGAATAGAATAAATTCAATAATTGAAATTCCTTTGACATATAAGGATAATGTATCTTTTTATTAGTTTTAATTTTTTGGGAATTATATAATTTCAATTGTAGTAATGAATTCTTATTTATTTTGGTTTTTCATTGCAGTTGGTTCATCACCCTTGACTTCTTGCATTTTTGACTTTGCAATTGATAAGCTTGGTCATCCGAATAAATAGTTCTTAGCTAGTTTTATATATTGTACCTTTTGTTGGTACTGGATTGATATTTTTAAGTATTATGTTTTTAATTTAAGGGTCATATATTAGTTAGTTTTTATGATGGTCAAGGGAACAAACATAGTTGGGGATGTTTTAAAGTATTGTTGATGGTAATGTTTCTACTTTTGGTATGTCTAATAACGTCGGTGAATTCACGTCATTTTGTGGCATTTGTTAAGAATTTTGGATTATTTGTGGTAAAATTATTGTTTTAGTTATTTGTCACACAATAGGGTCCGTAACAAATAAGAAATCAATTGTATTTTCTTTTGTGGCAATAAAAACTTTATATGAGGCTTATACGCTTTTGTACCATATTTTTTGTTACGGAAATTTTTCGGAACAAAAAAAGTTTCACAATGAATATCACATATTTTTTTATGGATAAATTTTGTAAAAAGAAGATCTCTAACATGAGGTCTACTTTTTGTTCCGTATTTTTTTGTTACGGATATATTTGTTACAAAAAATTTTATGACAAGATCACTACTTTTGTTCCATATATTTTGTCACAAATATGTTTCATAGCAAAAAGATAATCACATCTTTTGTTGTGTACGAGAAAACGTAACAAATATAATAAACACATGCATATTAATGGCGTTGACCGTCACTTATTCATTACGGATTTTGCCGTAACAATCACTTTTTGTACCACGATTTTTCTTAGCCGTCAAAATCCGTAACAAAGTCGACACAAAAGATTTTTTTCACGAAAAATGAGTTTTTGTTACGAATTTTGACCGTTATAAAAAGTCAATTTTTTGGTAGCAAATTAACATCCTCAGTAAATAACCACACGTAAAGAAAAAAAAAATCAAAAAAATAATTTAAATTTGAAGAGCACAATGATTATATTAAGAACTATATTAAGAACGTACAATGATTACATCACAATATTAATTATGAAAGAGCACAATAATAATTTTTAAAAAATACCAAAATTACTTCAAAATAGCACAATAAAATTCTCGAAAGAGTACAAAAAATAATGACAAGAATGGAAGTGCACACATCTGCTTCTAATGGAATCCAAATGATTCTTAATTATATTTGTTTTCCTATAATTAACTTCATATCCATTTGTTTGCTCATGTCACAACAGTATATTTGCATTGCATACGCAATTATCGTTAAATATTATCAAATAGATTATATATATAATATATAAATAAGCTGCTGAAGCATAGCATACGCACAAACATACACATAAATTTAAACAAAAAATTGAGATTAAAAAGAAAAATAGTATATTGCAGGAAAAAAAAAGATATTCAAAAAATTTATATAAAAAGCACAATGAGTATATCACTATAACACAATGATTGTGTCACAACAGCACAATAATTATATCATAAGAGCATAATATTAGTTATAGAAAAGCACAACAATAATATGAATGGACCATGTCATGTATTATTGTGTTGCAGGTTATTCCGTTTCTATTTCTGTGCTACAATCCTCTCATTTTTCTCTTCCTCATGTATTATTTTTATTTCATTCAACTTGCTTTAAAAGAACTTAAAATCTTATGTGCAGACCTTGATCTAGATTTTTGATTTCTTAAATTTATTTACTTATTAAATTCTGTTGTCAGAAAAGGAGAGCGTAAAAATATACAATATATTAATTATATGCACTACCAAAAAAAGGTTCTTTCACCACGGCTCGACGGTTCGTTACAATAACATCGTAACAAATAATGGTTTTTGTTACGACAATTTACGTGACCAAATATATATTTTCTTGGTCAACGTTTCAAGTTCTTTAATTACGCAAAATAATCCGTAACAAAAACGGAGTTGGTAGACTTTGTTCAAAATAACATTAGTTACGATTGTGCTTCGTAACAAATGGTGTTTACATTTATTTTTTAAATTTAAAAGATATTTTGGATTTAAAAAAAGGTAAAAACGCTATAGCGCTTTCGGAAAACTAAGAACGATTTCATCCCACACGCGCAGGCTTTCTTCTTCCCTTCCTCGGTGCCGAATAGATTTCACACTTAGCGAATTTCAGAAAGTTAGGGCACAACTCATTCTTCGACGCGATTTCTCAATCAGCAAACGCGACGTACTAGGCGAAGGTGGGATCGAGGAAGTTAATCGGCACCGGTGTCCAGGTAATGTTTTTAAGTTATCTCGAGTAGTATAAGGATCGATCCACAGATCTTCGTCGCGTCCTCTGTGAGGAGAAATCGATATAGGGCGTCGTAATATTCTTCTTCTTTCTCAGGTGGTATTGGGAATTGTATGGCTTGTGTGTGATAAACAGAACTTGATTAGTTGGTAGGATAACGTATTCTTGTGTTAGAGAACTAGTAGGCAGATTGTTTAAGTGCCCTGTGAAGTTTGATTTATTAATGGTGTAATTTTATCACATGATTATTTTGGTTATGAAATTTTGGTTTTTGGTCTGCTGGTTTGAAAGGGAAGAATCTCAACCTGTACCTGTTCGACTCTACCCTGGGATCAGTATGGGTTGAGGTGTTTGTGTTTCTGTCTTGTTGTTTAAGATGGGTGATGAGAGTATAAAAATGATAAAATAATACATAGCTGGAGTATAAAATTATTTATAATGAGAGTATATTGTTTCGTGACTGACGAAGAAACTCTGGTATGAGTAGGGAAAGATAACAACACGCACAGCCGCGGGGCTGACAGCTGAGATGCACCCAGCCTGGCTCGCTATCGTCTGCAGGTATTTCGTCACAATGCCAATCGGCTTCATTTTTGCATTACAATTATACTCATTGTTCCAGTTACAGTGAGTCGTCGTCTTTTATTTCAAATTTGTGCAGGAAAGGGAGGGTAAGAGGTGCTAATACTTTGCCTGGATCAGATCAGATCCTTTATTTGTTTATTTTATATATTATAACATAGTTAGATTCAATTCATCGTATTCACTCTCAAATTGATTGAGGGTGAGATGGGAATTATTTTCACGAGGTTGTTTTCTTCACTCTTCGGGAACAAGGAAGGTCGGATTCTTGTGTTGGGCCTCGACAATGCCGGAAAGACCACCATTCTTTGTATGCCTCATTTTTCGCTTCATACGATTCACGTTGTTGTGGTTGCCTACTTGTCTTGGTGATGACTTTTAATTAATTCTCTTTAGCTATTGGTTTTCGCAGATCGACTTCAGATGGGAGAAGTAGTGTCTACTATTCCAAGTACTTACCTTGTTATCCTTACTTTAAGCAATTCTATACTGTTATTCTATGAATGTGGGTTGACTGACATTTAACGCGCTAATTTTTGGATATTTTGCGTTGTTTCTAATTGTTTTATGTTATTCTCTTCTCTTGAGCTTGTTTTGGTTGCTTCCTTGAGTTCATTAATTTGCTGCATCTATTTCATAGGCATAATTTAATATGACAAATGGTGATATGCGAAATGTGTAGTCTGAAAATAGGATTAGGGAAACTTTGCTTTACTTGATTAATGAGTAGATGTCTTTTTCATTTTACAGCTATTGGGTTCAATGTGGAAACAGTGCAATATAACAACATAAAGTTCCAAGTTTGGGATTTAGGTGAGTTTATCATCCTTAATAGAATTGGGATTGTTTTCAAAGTTTTTTGGCTTTCAGGATCCTTGTTGTTTGACTTGGACTTATGAATTTGTTTATTTTCATATGGGGTTCATCATTTTAATTTGTAATTTCTGAGTTTGGTTGTTATTGACTGTGTCATGTGTCGCCCTTGGTGATTTATGTTGAAATTATGAAAAGAAGGAGCTGAGGACTTCTTGGCTTTAGGTTTTCATTCTCATTAGAGCTCCAGAGCATGAAAACAAATGATGTCCATGGATGAATTATTCACATTAATACACAATGGAATGAATTTGTAACAACTATCAGCTATTAAATGTTGCCACTGGCTGTGGTTTCAAATGCTGCCATATATTATAAAAGATAATTGTAGGTTTATCTTAACTGAATTAGAGAATGTAGACTACAAGTCAACAATATCCTTCTAGTTAGCCTAAGATTTTTTAATTTAAATATATATAATCACTTCACCAATGAGGGAGGAATATTGTTTTGTTTCGGCGTGTCTCATGAGCTAAATGATTGGAATGTAAATGTTTTAAATTTGCTTCCTTATTTTTTCTTTTTCATTATTTCCATCAAGGAGCCGAAGGATTCTATAAGCTATGATTTACTTTATAGACATACGATTTGCTTATGAGGGTGGGTCGTGATTCTAGAGTATAATTAGGCATCTAGGCCATTAAGCTTAATGCAACTACAAAACACAGTTATAACTTTAACCTGTGGAAGTCATAAAATAACATTCAAGAAAATAACCATGGGAATGCTCTTTGTTATCACAATTTCATTTATGCTTAGCGGTTTTGTGATTACTTAGTAGTTTCTCTTCCAACCATTTCTAAGAAGTCCATTTTGAAGTTTTTTATTCGTAACATTGGTGGTTCTCCTTGTTGTGGCAGGCGGGCAGACCAGTATCAAGTAACTAATTACTCAAAAAAGTTCCAAGTAATTACTTGTGATTTTTATTTCTATCGTCTATTTAGTTAATTTGTCCAATTTAATGGTTCTCTTTTCAATCACACAATACTGACATGTGTCTGTACCCTGTCTAATATTGCCTATTGGATTTGTGCAGTAATGACATTTCTTCGTTCTAAATCCATGTTAAAATCTCTCTCCAATGATTTTCTTTTCATACTTTTCTACTTTTCAATAGAACGTTTTATTTTTTATTATGTATTTAAGAATTGATAGATTTAGTTAATTACTGCCATGGATAAATAGTTTACCTAGGTGAAATTGTCAAAATAATATTCTGTTTTCAAGTAGGAATTGCTTTTATTGTTATTATATTTTTAAAAAAAATCTAACTTTTTTCTTTTGTATATTTTTTAATACTTTATGTGGTGCTTGACAACATCAAGTTCACTTTAATTTTTCAATGGAAGTGGTAAAAATGTCTAGCAGCAGTTTTTTTTTTTTTTTTTGCTACTATTATTACACACATTGGTTGTTCACTAGGAGCTTTGGTTAACTATTGAATTTCAATGATTGTTTATCTTGAATGTGTTCATATATACATAGGTGGATAAGTCGAAATTTTGAATTAAGACAACACTTTGCCAAATCCTTCAAATCTGGATAGATTGCTGGTACATTTTTTTGTTAATAGCCAAAGTGCTACATATTTTTATTACTAGATGATGCTACAACGAGAATCCTTATTTCTATATAAAACATGAGTTGTGGTGAGTGAGTGCATCTTACAATAGACCTTACTCATCTTTGAACCAACCACATGATACACATATACTAAATGATAGTCTTATTTTCCGGTATCTTTTCCTTTTTATTTCTTATAAAACAAGCGCAGCTTTCTTTAGAACTTCCTAATCCCTTGAATCGATGCTAAGATGTTTTGCTTTGTTGTTTAGGCCATACTGGAGGTGCTACTTTCCCAATACTCAAGCGATAATATATGTTAGTGATTCAAGTGATACTGATAGACTAGTGGTTGCCAAGGAAGAATTCCATGCAATATTGGAGGTGATATTTCCATTTATGTATTATCAGAAGAAAGTTCATCACCTATATATTTCAAAGGGGATCTTCTTGTTCCGTTTTACACCAAGGTTAATGGAAGATCAAATAAGCTAAACTTTATGTTACTGGACAAATCTTAAGAATATAATGAAAATATTTTTTATTTCATATGTCACCATCACATATTCATGGTAAACAACTTGCTTGTGCTTGGCTTCAACAGGTATGTTGTCCCGATTATGGTACTTTTAGTTGTCAAAGGTTAACAATATTCTCATTAATTGTGAAGCTTTAAATTTCAAGAACATAATCAGAATTAGAGTGATGATTTTTTAATAAACACTTTAGTAGTTTTTGTAAAATATTGAATGGCCACTGTTTGCATAATTTTGCTGCACATGATCCTTTGAAGTTCTCTGAGTGTTCTTACAGTAAGTTCCTACCTAGGTGGCCCTGGAACTTGAACCAGTACTTAACAGTTTGTTTACCTTTAGCTTTGGTTTTTTATATTTTAGGCCTTGGCAGTTTTGTTTTCAACTTAAATAGAAATGAAAAATGGTTCTTGTTTCTAGCTGTTTTAATTTTCCCCACATCAGTTAAACTGTTTGTTTAAACTCCTGATGATATTTGTTAATGATTGACTCTACTTTCCTCTTTCTTATATGGAATTACATTGGTCTCATGCTAGGAGGCAGAGCTAAAAGGCGCCGTTGTCCTCTTGTTTGCTAACAAGCAGGTGGAATTTTATACCATTCTTTCTGCTATATATATATATATAAACATTAACATTGCACTTAATTTACATACGATAAGCATAAATTTCTTGATGCATTTGCATACTTGTTAACTCTGTGTGTCGGTTGAAGTTGCTTGATAATCCACTCACAAGTTAGATAAGTGTACTCTCTTATGGCTTAACATTATCTGACTTACAGGATCTTCCTGGAGCAATGGATGATGCTTCGATAATTGAGGCCTTAGAGTTGCACAAAATTAAGAATCGGTAATGGGCTATCTTCAAAACTTCCGCCATAAAGGGAGAGGGCCTCTTTGAGGGCCTAGACCGGTAATTCATGGATATATAATGTGCTTTGGTACCTAATTCATGGATATAGTACCATGTATTGTACGACATATCTAAATATACATACTCGTATTGTTCTAGTTGCAAAGCTTTACACTTCTAATGTCTGTGTTATGGCATGTTATACATATAATTTGAACGTCTGTTGATATCTATGGCTCAATATACTTAAAAATTGCACTTGTGGATATTGTAGGTGACACACTTTCCCTGGTCAAGGTCTTCGTGACATTCGCCTCAGTCCTAGACACACCCCTTATTTTGTCGACCATTGCTGGGGCGACTACCCTTCGCGATGTCGTTGGTGAAGATCCTATTGAGTGGAACTACAAGGATGTACAGATCTATTTTCATACCTTTCTTGTATTTTCTTGAAAAATTTATAAGAAATACGACTTAAACTAATCTTTGTGTTGGCCATTGCAGCTCATGCACCGCCCCTGAAGCGTATCTACCGATTCACCCATGTTAGTTGCCCCGTTTGTCTTATGGAATGTATGTCATACCTGTTTTTGGATGGATTGTGTTGAGGCTGTGTGAACGATATGTGGAATTGATGCATAGACCATTGGAGTTTTAATTCGTGTGGTGAAAGATGTGGTTATGGATTGATGGATATCCGTACTTGCTTATTGTTAGGTTTGGTGTTTGAACTGTTAAGCCCGTTTTGCGGAACAGGATGTTGCTGTGTAGTGCTTGCTAGGCTTGTTTTATGGGTTGCTTTACTCCGTTGTTAGGTATGGAGATTGTCAAGTAAAATCTGTAGTGTCCATGGGCCTTAATGTTGGGATTCAGATTTTACTATGAATTAATGTTTGCATGTATTGCCAATGATGATGTTTATAGCATTATGTGTATACGGAATTTCTTTCGGTATTGGGGAGATCACAGCAGGTCATTTTGTTCCACACATTTTTAATTGCAGTAACACCTATTTTTCATAGCATGATATTTCTGCGTAACAAAAGGATGAAATACCGTGACAAAAAGTGGTCCTTGGATATTTGTTGTTTCAGGTTGTTCCGTGACTATAGGAAAGTATATTTTTTATTACGGGTTCAGTGTCGTTACAAATATTCGTAACAAAAACCAAATATGACAAGCGATCACAGGAACGTTTTTGTAACGCAACGACCTTTCGTAACAAATATCGTAACTAAAAGCTCTGACACACGCGCGGAAGGATCGACATTTGGTTACGAGAGGAAATTCGTAACAAACATCGTAACAAAAACCCTGCATTAGGGAGCGTTGACCGACAGTAATAGTTACGAAAAATGGCGTGGCAAAAAACATTTGTTACGCGAGTACACATTACGGAAAAAAGTCGTAACAAAGGCATAGCAAATACACAAATTGCATGAAAAATGGCTTTTTGTTACGATTTTCCGGCCGTAGTAGAAAACCGTTTTTTTAGTAGTGTATGTGCTGGATGGATAAGAAGAAATTGGAAGACCATGTTGCAAAGAAGAAAAACGATGTTGCAAACTTGCAAGAGAAGATATAGAATGATGAAAAAGATGGAGAATGAGGGAGAAGATAGAGAAAATTACATTTTTATCCTTCAATTTAATATTAATCATTGGATTAAGATACAATACAACGGATCAAAATTAATCAATACGATTAACATTAATCCGCAGGCTAACCGCCGCCTTTAGTTTTAATGTAATTTTTCTTGCTTTTAGTAATAAAATATCAGATATTTTTTCATTTTGTTAATATTCATAATTCCATGTCTGCACTTTCGTTGGCTATATTACGGAAAAACTTATATAAGTTGTATATTGATAATTCAAATATTTAATATATTTTCTATTTGTAATTTATGTCAACTATCTGTATTTTCATATAAAAATTATTATTCCTTCCGTCCCACATAAAATATTCATATTTTTCATTTTTGTTAATCCCATATAATTTATCTTTTCTTTTTAAAAATATAATTATACACTTTAATCACATTTTACATTTCATAGTTTATATTTTAGGGAGTACAATAATTGTATTGAGACATGTATTTTCATTAAAATATCATTTCAGATGATCCAAAGCATGACTAAAATTAAAGCAAGAAAATCAAATTTTAAGCAAAGGTTTGTTTATTTTCCGGATTCTAGCAACCACAAGTTCAAGCAAGTGGTCGGTCATTCAATCGACCAAAGCATTTTTTTGTGAAGCGCGAACTTGTAACATTCGAGCGGATCTTCTAACAATCAAAGCAAACTTCAAGTGTTTTCAAGTTACCATTATGATGGTCAAACGAGCATATATATTAGACTCACAATGATAGAACTTCCATGCCTTAGTAATGTCTTTTCCTCAAAAGATAAATTAATTCTGCATCATGCCCCGGGAGAAAGATCAACGCCGTTAAACTTAAGTCCAATGTATGTTGGATCAAAATAAATGAATATTTGAGGTTACCATGGAACTAACAATTTTCCAGTCCAATGTATCACTACAAGAAAAAATCATTTTTGTAACAAAATTTTTTTGTCTCTAAATCTACTTTTTCCGTTACTAATGACATTAGAGACGGAATTAGTAATGAAATTATGTTAGCTACGTGAACTTTAGGGACGGAATTCCGTTACAAATATATTATTTTTTTGTAGTGTATGTCCCATCCGTGAAATAAATAGCCGTATGATTTACATTATTCGTATGCATTTCCATTTTTATTCAATAAGTGTAAAGTATAAATTCTCTAAAAGTTAAAGTGTAAGGAACTCTTTTGGGTAGATAGAAGTAACGGTTAGGGGTTATATGTGGCAGTGACGTTTCCCCCAACTTTCCATCTCCACTACCGAAATTTGTAAATTACTGCTTTGTAGATTAACGTAGTTGTTTATTATATTTCCCTAGCAATGAAATATATCATTATTTATCTATATCACTATCAATCTAAATTCAATGTTTATGCGTAGGCCATTTAAGTTTGTTTACTAGTTATATCTGTAAGAGCACGATAAATTGTCGATCCATATTTTTTTCATTAACCAAAAACAATGTCTAGATGGTCCGCAACGAACAAGAAATGGTAACGATGGAAATCTCATCAAACTCATTGGCAGAAATTAATTTATAATAAAAAGAGGTAGCAGAGGAGAGCCAACAAGATGGGTGACCAAGTATAATTAATTATATCCTACGTGTTAAGGGTCTGTTTGGTTTGAGGAATTTGGAGGGGAAGGGAGGGGAGGGAATGCGAAAATTACAATTATATCGTTTGGTTCAATTTTTTTTTAAAAAGGAGGGGAGGGGAAGGGATGGGAGGGAATATAAGTTAAAAATATGAGTCTAGAGATCTACATGCAATGTAAGTTAAGCTAAAAGTATTTTAGTATGAGTCTAAAGATCTACATGCAATATAAGTTAAGCACCAATAGGCCCAGCAATGTTCGCTTACATGACTAGTGTGATCAAATTTCCGCCAAAGCATGGCGAACTTGTACATAGTTCTGAATCAAAGACTCATGGATAATTAATTGGTGATCATTTTGTAATATTTTGATTTTGTGTGACTACTATATCTACCAAAGCATGCGTAAATGTCTTAAATTCATTTAATACTCAACATAGTCTTTAATATGTTTTAGAGTAAGGTTAGATTATTTCTTGATTCTACACCAAGTAATTTTTTCTATAACTTATTCAATAATTTGAATCCGTAGTTACTTCAAGTACCTATTTCAAATACTTGAAAAGATCTTGTACTCGCTTTGTGTCAATTTTATCCATACTCATCTAGGGTGTAGCGAACTTTTTTCCATCAACTAAGTTAGTCTGAGATAGCACCAAATTAGTAATCCTTAAAAATGGGATGAAACAATGACGTAAGCGGGGAGGGAATGACATATCATAAAGAAAAATAAATAAATCGATGCAAACCAACTTTCCCTCTCCCCCATGTAGACCCAACGTAGTCATTCTTCTGAAAAAAGTGCGAAAAAGGCTATGTAGAAAACAAAAAGAAAAAGAAAATTGCCAAAAAATTATAAACCACCAAATAAAAAATAATTCTCTCTTAGCGAGCAAAATTATAAATTCTAGAGAGACTTAATTCATTATTAGCTCACATTAATGAAATTTTGATAACTTAAGGATTACTAATTTATTACTTGGGATTCACTATTATTCACAAAGTGTAGCACTTGTGTTGTGCAATAATTGATTGTCTTGAACGAATTAACTGTCTATTCCTTTAAATGAATTTATTTTTAGGACGAACAAAAGTTTAGTATGAGAGAGCTTGATAACCCCAAATTTGAGCATATTTTCTTCTTGCAAAATATGTTTATTACTTGTATTTTTATACCAAAACTATCACAATATTCAATTTCTAACATACGTTATTGTTATATTTCACTTGATATGAGCCAAATTCATATATATTAGATTTACACTAAAAAAGTACAAAAATACGTGAAGTTTAGACCAAAATTTCTAAAAGCTGAAAACAAACAAAGACGTTAGCAAACAAATCCATCAGCTTCTATATGAGACAGTCTATTTCGACCTAAGTCCAAGAAGGTTGAAAACTTCATCTATCGACGCCAACTATTTGTACGCGAGCGCCAGCTACGCCACTGCCAACACCAACTTTCACACGGACTTACCGTTCTCAACAGGCCCACAATGAAGGTGTTGTGACTCTACATGGTGTCTTTTCCTCTACACGCTAAGTCTGGGGACTTATGTTGCCAGGAGAACAAACTGTGTCGGGAGCCCTGATCAAGACCGGGGGTTGCAAACCCCTTAGAAATTATGATTGTTATAACTGCTGCAACTACTTTACTACAACTACAACTACAACTACTTAACTTCCGTCATTGGAACCCTAAACACTAGACCACAACTACTTAACTACCGCCGTTGGAGCTTATAACTACCAACCATATTCATTTGTAATTATCACTTGGAATCAAGCAATTCATTTTGAGTACTTATTCTTCAAAGCTCAAATTGTAAGGAGTTTTTTTTTATTATTATTTTGGCACGGTGGTCGGAGGACTTTTACAGAGGTTCTCAACCTCTAACCACCCATCTCAGCCACCGGAATCTCTTTTGTAAGAGGCTGTTACTTGCGTTCAAGTAGATAATGTTAAACATTATTTTTTTTTCTTAAAAATAAAAATATCATTATTCTTCTTCGTTCATTTGATTCACACACCATTTCCATCTTCACACTTGAGTTGTTCAAGTTAGAATTTATATAAGATTTTGGAAGGGCATAGACGGATTAACTATTATCCCTATGCTCATGTCGTATTCATTAACAAAGTGTAGGTAGGTTGGAATTATGTACGTAGGAGCCTTGTTGATTTATTTAGTTGTAATCAGATTTTAATCTTGACTAAACAGAGTATCAGAGGAATAGATCTACTAGTAAAACAATTTAAGTAATAATTAACCAGACATAAATGATTGTATATAGATCACAGAGATATCCAGTAACTTTTCTTTTAGATAATGTTCTTGGTTGTGAATCTAAAATTTTATTGTAACTCCTAAGGTCAAATACCAATCGAATTATAAGTTGGTGTTAAGTAGAGTTGACAAAAAATAAGTACAGCTCGAAAGCCCGATTCGAACCCGATACGAAAAAATTATGCTTGACCTAAAAAAATAAGCCCGAAAAAAATCGGGTCATGCCCGGCAGCACGAGTATGAATCGGCCCGTGCTCAAACCTTTCCAGGTGGGGCCTTACTTGGGCCAACCCAGTTTGCAAATTAAATATAATTTTAAAAAATAATTTTATTTGTGTAATAGAGACTGAAGTTTAAGTTGAATAGGTCAATTGAGATTTTACTCCAATTAGCCGATATATTAATAAATAAATTTAATGGTTAAAATAGGATATTTCATTGTATCTCAATTAAAATAGGACACATACCAAAAAAATAAACATCTCCCAAGGCTTCTCATAAACTAACAAATATCCTTTGATTCTTCTTCAATTGTTTGGTACAACATGGTCGAATTTGATCTGTTCTCGTCTGTTATAAACTATTGCCACGAATTCTAGCGCAAATTCATTATTATTCAACATTTTATGTGCTCTATTTATTCATTTATGGCTTAGCTTACTGGAAGAAGCTAAGAAAAGAGCCTTAGCATCTCGGTTCTGCTTCTAATGCGCGTCTTCTTCCATTTCATCACAGCCGCCACTTTAATTAATTCTGCATCATCTTTATTTTGATTCTCTAAAATTCATTACAATCTTATTTAAGCATTGGTATTTCTGGTCGAGTGGTCGAGTGATATTATACATTTCTCCTATTATGTTCAATTCTTGCATAAGAGCCCATCTTTGATCATCTCAATGGAGACTTCTTTCTTTTTTTTTCTTTTTTTTTTTTTTTCTTTCCTATCGTACAAGTAAATAAAAAATACATTTATTTATTTATAATTAACATAAATTAATTTTATAAGAAGATGTGAAGTTTAAATATTGATAAAAATAGTTATTTTTTTTTTTAATAGAGAGATAGAAATAAAAGAGTTTTAAATGAATATTACATGATGCATGATATTATATATTATATAATTAATTAAGTTAATTTATATTTGCTAAGTATATTTGATTTAGTAAACTTTATTCAAAATAGAAATATATTAATTGTCACGAGACAGACAAAAATAAAAATTGGATAAATGAAGTATATATTTTGGCTTAATAAATATAATTACATATATTATAATATCAACAAATAAGTATATTATACAACATAATATCAAATATAACTTACACAATATAACACATACTTTTATATAATACAATATGTATACAAAATGTATTATCCCTATATATATATATATATTGATTCAATCAGCATTAGAGCTGGCAATTGATTGACTCAATCAGCATTAAAGTTAGCAATGAATCTATTCATGTCTGGTTGAATATTTTAAATGGGTTAAATTATTTAACTCTAACCCGACCTGTTTATTATCGTGTCGGGCTCGTGTGAACCCATTTATTTATCGAGTCGAGTTCGGGTTGACTCCTGTTGACCCGTATACATAATTAAATAGAAATTTTTATTCAAAATTATTTTTTGTCGTGTTGTCTTGTTATGTTAGCTTCTATTGGTTTTGACTTAAATTAGATTGAATTATTTAAAATTGAACTTAATTAAAATTAATTTATGAGAAAATTATTAAATTATAGTTATTTACATATATAATAAATATATTAATCAATATTAATATATTATAATCGAGTTGTCATATCGGGATCGAGTTGAGAGCCTCAACTCTAACCCGCCCATTTATTATCGTGTCGAGTTCGTGTCAACCCCTATACATAGTCGGGTTTGAAATCTTTGACCCAAACCCAATTATTTCGTGTCGGGTCAATTTTTGTGAACTCTAATCAGCATAATAATTTGTGTCAAGGCGTGGTTGAAGCATGTATCTATCCATCTCCATTTCCATACACAATTCTATTTTCAGTTGCACCCAAGCTTACGCTTGCTTTTTGTCCATCTCCATGCTATTATTTCACTTCCATACACACGCATCCTATGGATACACTTGTTTCTCATCCAACAACCTAATCTATCTATCTATCTATTGCTTCCAACAACACAACTAAATTTAATGAATGAATCAATGTATCAGCTCTTTATTCATTTTTATTATTACTCTCAACAAATTGTTTAATCATAACCCACCACACAAAATATGCATTCTTTGATTTTAATTTAGACCAAACGAAGCCATGATCCATCGCATCTCTGCACCAGAATCAGAATATGGACGTAATGGGATCTACCTACTGAGTTTTGTTTGCTTCTCTTTTGATCACAACATATAACTATCCAACTAACTAATTGTCTTCCGGACACCGTCGTCTCGTCATATTTAAACGAAAATGAAATAAACTACCTTTAATTCGCACCATCTCTGCTGTAGTACTGGTCCAGTGTCTTTGCTGGAATACGATGAAGAAGCTCCCGAGGGAAGATCCGCAACAATGTCCATGCCAAATCAAGCGACTGGAAGATATTGCGAGTGTCGTATGCCCCTTGTGTCACAAACTTCCTCTCGAATTTATCCAGAAACTCAAGATACAGCTGTGCGTGCAAGTCACGTCAATAACGAGATTTATATATATATATATGTGTGTGTGTGTGTGTTGTGTGTGCATCACCGGAAACAACGATTCAGATAACCACTAGGAAATTAATGGAATAACAGTTTTGCAGGTAACAGACCAGATCTTCCGAGGAGAGTGCTTCTTCTCCAACCACAGCTTTCATTGCCTGAACATCCTTCCCAATGGCATAGTTCGCATAAAGCTGTGAAAATCGAAACAAGCAACCTAATCCCAGGGACCGAAAAGCATATTTCATTCAACATTGTTGTGTGAAATGGTATTACTTAATCTGCCCACCTGGTTAGACACATCGGAGTGATCCCTACGGGTCATGCCTTCACCAATGGCACTCTGCAAAACATTGAAGCATCAATACTGTTGCATTGTTCTTAATGACCACCTATGGACCAAATCATATTCAAAGAACATAAAAGATCATTCTTAATCACCTTCATTAGACGAGACAAGGATGGGAGCACGTTGATTGGAGGATATATCTGCCAATTTATGCAGTGATGATTTCAGCCACATTTCCACACAACGTGACATAGGCTCATTGATATGCATTATGAAGGAGCCATAAGCTCACTATTACAAGGTGCTTTAACAGAGAATTAATGGCAACTTCATTGTATGTAAGACAGTTGAACTGAACTACTATATACCATCTGTTGTCACTAATAATATTTCTTTACCTGTCTATTATGAAGTTGTCGATCAATATAAATCTGCCCTTCGGTGATATAGCCCGTTAAATCTGGAGTAGGGTGTGTAATGTCTGTCAAATTACAAAGAGAGAAAAAACAGAATGAGATTGATAAATAATGAGGAATACGCAATCCCCAGATGGTTAATATCAAATGTTGCTGCATACAAGGGTCCTGGACCAAGTTCATGGCCGGGAAAATGAGTCAAAACCCGGAGGCTCAATAGAATTGTCCTGAATCTTGTAGAACACTTTGGATACTTGAAGATAAAACTAGAACTTGTATATAGATTTCTGTAGAACCCTGTGGAAGGTTGTAGAAGTCCTAGAAAGTTCTAGAGGGCAATCTTAGCCATTGAACCGATTCGATTTACAGCATCTAGACTAGCGTGCAATTGTATATAGAGGGGTGAATCCCTCATTTGTAATCCATCCAAGTTAAAGTCAAAAGGTTTTTCCCTCGTTACTTTCTCTCTCTAAGTACTACTTTCTCTCTCTAAAGTTCTCTGTGTTCTTGTGTCCTTGCGAGTTTAGAACGAAGGTTGTACTAGCAACATCTTACTGGTGTCCAAGAGATTGTTAGGCTGCACAGATGTTCAAAAGACAATCTAACGGTCCGTGACAAGTAGTATCAAAGCTTTATTCTTAAGAAATGGCAAACAGAAAGCATCGCCAAAAGGCTGGGCGTATCAAGTCTGTCGATATTGTGGACAGTTAGGAGGAAAGAATTGTATGGTTGTAGCAAGCCTTGTCCGACCGTACCAATAAGCCAGACGTAGTGGACCAATGTCTCGACAAGCTAAAGGAAGAGTTGCGGAACAAGATGATAGGGGCTTTAGTGGACGGTATGAACCACTGCCAAAAGGAAATGGAGGAGCTAGTCAGTTCACAATGTTCCAAGGTGGCTAAACTCAAGGAGAAGTTGGCGTAATATCACCTCGAGATAGCAGAAAGGAGAAGGCTGCAATGGTGGAGCCATCTATAATACAATAAATGATTGCATTACTTCGAGTGACAATTGTGGAGTTGCAAGCTCGAGGCCGTACCGGAGTGGCAATGACACCAAGGGTGGAGGCACCAAGTCCGGAATACTATTCGGCAGTCCAAAAGTTCGGGTAATTGGATAATTGTTTTATAGGCCTAAACATTACTTTGGAGTTGTAGGTATTTGTTTGACTAAGTGTGCATCAACAGGAGTTTTTATAATGTTTGTTTTCGTTATTTAGCTTAATTTAATCTTTTTTACCAAGTCTTTTGGATTTTGTTAGACTCTTCTAATTTTTAGCTAAGCTGAACTTTTTTCTATTTTTGGTTTCAATCTAATGTACTTTAAATCTTTTAAAGTCAATAATAGAATTAATCTTTTTTCTGCTCTCATAATGCTACCGTCTTCTCCCTCAAACAAAACCAACAAACTAGTATTAGAGCCCTTATTTTTAAAGGATCTGTGAGTGAGCGGATAAAAAAAGCCAACTCAGACCCTTGCCCCTCTCAAACTATATCCTCCTCTAAATGGACTCTGAAACACCTTTCACAGCATTAGCACCACTGGTGTTTAAAGGTGAAAATTATAATCTATGGGCTGCAAGGATGGAAATTTACTTAGAGGCAAATGATCTCTCGGATGCTGTTGAGGAGGATTACAAAATCCCCCTTACCAGAAAATGTTGATGGTTCAGTGAACATATAAAGCAAGGTTAGTTGTGAAAGGATATGTTCAAGTCCCAAGAGTAGACTTCTTTGATACATTTGCCCCTGTAGCAAGATTAGATACCATAAGATTACTTCTGGCTATTGCTGTGCAAAAGAAATGGAAAATCTATCATCATGATGTAAAGTCAGCATTCCTTAGTGAACTTCTAGAAGAACAAATTTATGTTGAGCGGCCTGAAGATTTTGCAGTGAAGGGCCATGAAGAGAAGGTCTGTTTATCGAAGAAGGCATTATATGGCTTAAAACAGGCTCCAAGGGCATGCTACAGCAGGATAGATAAATATTTACTAAACTTAAGCCTTAGTGGGTCCACTTTATACATTAAAGGTGACACTCCTGACTTTATTGTGGTCTCACTTTATGTTGAGGATCTTTTGGTCACGGGCAGCAACAATCAGCTTGTTTTGCAGTTCAAGAAAGATATGATGCATATTTTCTAGATGACCGAGCTTGGAGAAATGTCTTACTTTCTTAGAATGGAAATTAAGAAAAGACAAGGTGAGGTTTTCACTGATATTCAGTTTTAAATTTAATAGATTTGGAGTTGGTTTTATTTTATTTAAATTTGAGTCTATCGAGTCTGTTTATAGGCTCTATTTTCGTTATGAATAACAATATAATTTTTTAGTCTTTATAATTAATTTTTTATACGGTATCATAGCTTATTTTTTTCTTTGCCGTAGATATAGCCTACTAACCCACGTTTCTCCGGGAATGTACCCGCAGGTCTCCCAGTTTTGAGATTTTTTTTATAGTTTCTAATCCTTTCTGTTTTTCATTTTGATTTTGTTTTTAGTCTTAATTTTGTCTACATTTGAAGATATGTTTGCGCATCTGTCTGCGATCCGTCTGCTGCGTTTCTTCAAAGTCATATTTCTGACTGAATTTTCAACTTCATCGAAGTCCTGTTATTTTCGACTCAATCGAGAGTTCCGTTATTTTCGATTCCATCGAGAATGCCGTTATTTCCGACTTTATTGAGAGTCTTGTTATTTCCGTCTCTATCGAGAGTCCCGTTATTTCCGACTTTATCGAGAGTCCCGTTATTTCTGACTCTATCGAGAATCCTGTTATTTCCGACATCAAGAGTCTCATTATTTTTATTTTCGACTCCATTGAGAGTCCTGGTATTTCCAACTCCATCGAGAGTTCTGTTGTTTCCGACTCCGTCAAAAGTCCCATTTTTTTCGACTCTAATTCAGTTAAGAGCATTATTCATAGCTTTCATACGATAGAGCGGCGGCGGCAACGGCCGACAAACAACTGTTATTTTTTATTTGCGTCTTTTGCGTTTGTATTCAACTTTCTTATCAAACTTAAATTGGATGTCTAATGTATCTTACAGCAACAAGACCGGATATATTGTTTGTCGTAAGTGTGCTTTCTAGATTCATGAACTAACGAGACTCATCCTTGTTGAGAGTTCTTCGGTATGGTAAAGGAACCTTAAGTTTTGAGGTTCAATTTTGTTCTTCAACGAATTTCCAGCTAAAAGGTTACTCTAATACACTTTGACGAGAAAAGCACCTTTAGATTTTATTTCAATTTTGGGTCAGAAATACACTTGGAGTTAAAAAATAATAATAATAAATAAAAAAAAAAACAAGAAATCGTAGCATAATCAACTGCTGAAGCAGAAAGCTACTACATCAGCAGTTAATCATGCTTTTTGGCTGTGAAAAATCCTAAGTACTCTGAGTTTCACACAAAACAAGAGCACTAAAGTTACTGTGGACAATCAGGCAGCGATAGCCATCTCAAATAACCCTGTTTTTCATGAAAAGGCTAAGAATTTTAGCATTAAACGTTCCTTCATCAGAGATGTTCAAAAGGATGGTGCAGTGAAACTCAAGCACTGCAAGATTGAACATCAATTAGCAGACATATTTACTAAGTCTCTTGGAAATAGCAGATTTGAAGGCTTAAGGAAGAAATTTGGAGTTTGCACTTACTCATGCAAGGAGGAGTGTTTGACTAAGTGATTAGTGTGCATCAGTAGGAGTCTTATCAATAATTTTTGAATTAGTTATTTAGCTTAATGTAATCGCTTTTACCAAGTCTTTTGGAGTTTGTTAGATTCTCCTAATTTTTAGCTAAGTTAGACTTTTCTATTTTTTGTTTCAATCTAATATACTTTAAATCTTTTAGCGTCAATAAAATAATTAATCTTGCTGCTCTCACAATTCTACATTCTTCTCCCTCAAACTAAGCCAACAGTATTGTCAAAGGATAATGTCAAAATCCAAAACGCATCATTGTACTTGAACAGCTTGACGGTCATTTAAGACAACAAAGTATGCTTTAGCGAGAACGAGATCAATGGGCACTCATCCATATGCATGCTTGACACGGGGGTGGATGCAAATCACATGAGCAAAGAGACAACTCGCAAGATGGGGTTATTGTGGATGCCGATGAATGAGCTGTTCAAGGAAGTCAAAGGCAGATGGACCTCCTTGACGAGTGTGACAAAAGGTGTACCAATAAAAGTCGGAGATTGGCAAGGTACGATAAATTTTAATGTTGCCCTATTGATGATTATGCGGTATATTTTGGTATGAAATTCATAGATCGTATAAAGTCAATGATGGTTCTACACGAGCAAAAGTTGACGATCACGGAGGGTGACATACTTTGCGACGTAACTGTATATTAGGAGATGGAGTTGAGCCCGAGAACTCAAGAAAGGTTTTAAAAAGGGAGAAACTACATTTGTAACAATCCTAAGTGACGAGGACCTCCCAAAAAATGAGATCAACAAGGAGGCCGGGAAGGCACCTAAGGAGTTGGAGTCTGTCCTTGAGGAGTTCAAGGACATTAAGCCCAAAAAATTGATGAAAGGGTTGCCACATGTCCTATCCATCCTACCAAGAAAAGCTTGCCGTGTTGTGCAGGCAATTCGGAGAGCTTTTGGATGCCAAATTCAACACCTCATTGAAAAGTTTGTTTGGACCATTGGTGTTGCTGCAACAAAAGAAAGGCAAGGGCCTTTGAATATACAATGAATATCGGGTATTGAACTAGATGACGGTGAAAAACAAATATTCGGTGCTGCTCATTGCAGAATTGTTTGATCATTTGCAACAACAAAAATGTTGTCCAAACTTGACATTCGAAAAGGCTACTATCAACTCAACATTCGGGAGGGTGATGAGCAGAAGACGACAATCACTACGAGGTATGAGTCGTATGAATTTAAAGTTATGCCTTTCGAATTAACAAATGCCCGACTACCTTTTGTACATTGATGCAAAGAAGTGTTACGAGATTTCTTCTATGACATCGTGGTGGTGTACTTATACGACAATGTCGTCTATAGTTGGAGTATGGTGGATTACGTTGAACACCTATAAAATATG